TATATATATATATATATATTGGCATAACGTAGTATATACTGTATACATTACAGTAGATAAAAATAAGGTTAGGGATAAGTGTTAGGTTTTAGGATTCGGAGAAGAACGCCCATAAATATTATTAACCCTTAGCTGCAACTGCAAGAATTAGGTACTTGTTTTTGTCCAGGGACAAAAATAAGAAAGATATACTCACCTGAACCTTGCAGACTACTGGATGCTAGACTGGTCCATTCTACCTGCGTCCTCCTCCTTTCCAGCGATGGGCTGTCCCTTGGCGTCCTCACATCCAATACACCGTGTGCCCTGCTTTAGTCCCATTCCCTGCTGCTTGATGTGGTGCATCCTTGATTTCTCAAGACTACATACCCTATCATGCATTGCTACCAGCAAGCAATGATAATGTTACATTGTTCAGACACTGAGTGGTAGTTCAGGGAGGCAGGCTCAGTGAGAGTGGTGACACCAGGAAGTTCATATTCACAGGGCTGAGTGGAAAGGTGTCAGTGCATTGAGGAAGTACATCCTATGGGCATCTTCAATAAGTTTACAAACTTCCTAGAGCGATATGATTATTAGGCATGGGATAGAACTTAATCAATATGGAACTACGGATTTATTTTACGTATGTGACCATAGGTACCCTTTAACATGAACCAGTGTGGGCAAACGCCCAATGATCCAGTGCTATAGAAACACATGGTGCGGTGCCAAGCTACCCCTTTCAGCACCCATCTGTTTGATATATACCTGGTTTCAGATTGTGTTCATTTACTGCATGATAAAAAAAAGCTACCTGAGCATCTTAGGGTAAGTTGTCTATCTGAAGATCCCAGGAAATATTAGGGGGTAACTGAAATGCTAAGAAGATGGCCATTGAATGGGAATGGTAGATACAGGTCGTGATATGTCACACTCCAGTGCTGGCTACTGCGGACTGGGAATGTTCTCTAAGTCACACATACCTGATACTTTGTCTAGTGTGTCCCGTCTGAATGAGGCACAATAGAAAATCCTGGGCACTGTGTCAGGACCGAGGTCTTATACCTATCAAATGTTACCAGATAGCAGAAGGACGTACAAAGCTTATATTTATAGTACTATGAGAGCTTTGTGTGGATAATATTCTGATATTATGAGGGCGATGAGATAAAGGTTCACTCTAATCAGGATCACATGTGAGTTCAGGTCTTTATATATTGGAGTATATCGGCCCCTAGAGGAAAACAAGCAGTGGACCCTTGCAATGCACTGCAAGGGTTAACTTTTTACATTCCTTGATTATTATTATTTGACTTTTATTATTTATATGACACATTATTATATGACTTTTACGTTCTAAAAGCTTGCTGTTTTATATCGGTGTTTCTCAAACCCTTTTTCAGACACAGCACCCCTAAAAAGTATGGAAAATGTGAGCCACCCCTGTCTAAAATGTAAGGGGGACCTCATGCATGAACATGTGGGGTTCCATTCTTTGCATTGAAGTCCTCCCTTCAAATCAAGGACCCCCTTCACATCAAAGCCCCCCTTTCACATTATAGTCTCCCTTTACATCAGTAGCCCCCTTCACATTAGAAGCCCTCTCCATTCACATCAGAAGCCCCCTTCACATTAGAAGCCCCCTCCATTCACATCAGAAGCCCCCTTCACATTAGAAGCCCCCTCCATTCACATCAGAAGCCCCCTTCACATTAGAAGCCCCCTCCATTTACATTAGAAGCCCCCTTCACATTAGAAGCCCCCTCCATTTACATTAGAAGCCACCTTTTATAGCCCCTTCTTTTATATCAGAATCCCTATTTATACATCAAAGTTCTCCATTCACATCAGAGTCTTACCATTACAAAATCTCGAGGCACCTCTGAGGAAGCAAGGAGGCACCCCAGTGTGCCATGGCCCCCTGGTTGAGAAAGGCTGTTTTATACCGTATTACATCAGATACAAAGATTAGCCGCTAGAGGGAGTTGTCAGTGGCACAGTAGAATTATTTTCTCTCTCTTAAAAGGAACTCCCCCCACCCCATTTTTTTTCCTATCCCCTCATGCCTGGGTTGCTACAGTCACTGTGGGTATTCCGACAGGCTCAGGCACCAACTGTTAGAATACAGAAGCCCGACAGGTGTGATTTCTCTCATTCAGCCTGCGGGGCTAAACCAGAATGATCTTAAAGTGTACACATCGCTGAAGGAGAGTGATTTGTAGCAGAGCGCAGCGATTAGCGTTAGCGATTTGTACAACATCACAACAATGGACCTTAACCTCTGGTTCACACTTTTGTGGGTGCATCAATGCGTGCCTGTATGCATGTTTGTGGAGGTCACACATAGGGCAGCACATGCTCAGCATACTTGCACATTAGGGCACACTTACCTCACAAGTGTTCCCTTCTCCAGCGCCGAATCAGTCTTCAGTCCTCAGCCCTGTCCCCTGTCCACTTCGGCCAGTGTCCACTGTCCCTTTTGGCCATTGGTTGACCACTGATGATATAACTGCTGCGCATGTGCACAGGGGTTACATCGACCCCTGAACCCAGGTCATGTACGGCATCTTAGAGATGCCACAAATGGACTAAGGGTGTACACAAAAAAGAAAAAGACAATATATAATATAGACAATTCTGCCTAATTTGGGTAACGATCAGCCTCATTAGGGATATTCAGTTGTCCATTGTCAGGCGATGACCAGGTATGGACATCTGAACCCAATCAACATTTAAAAGATGAGATTGGCAGAAGTGATCAGGAATTATTAACATCCTTCTACTTTTGAGTCTGATAGATGATAATACCAAGAAAGCTTTGCAGGACTATGTAGAAAGAAATCCTTGTCCGTGCAGCCAATGGGCACTGTATGACCCCCATATTCTGGGAATTGAACTTCTCCCTTACTGTGATGAGGTTGACTCTTTTAGGATCTAGTCTACTCCCCCCTGTGTGCTCAGCCTGGGCGCTCCTCCTTCTCTGTTCACACACATTTCCATTGATAGCAGCCGTCTGCTCCTCTCAGTCACATCACACAGCTTGCAGTGTCCAGGTGTGGGGACTCTACTGCCATGATGTAAAGGGGCACCGAGTGGGCTCATTGGAGTACCAGCACCAGGACAACGTTCACCATGCATTACAAGATTGTCAGGTCAGTAGGAAGATTTTTTGCATGGACCTTCCTGGTTGACAAGTACATTACAATTCTTTACTGTAAGTAAACCCTGTAGAGCTTTATATCTATACAGGCTACTGCCTGAGCATCACTAGTCCTCTTAAAGGGTAAGTCCATCCCTGATATTGAAAATTTTGGTACATGCTGAAAAGTTAATACACTTGATGGCTTTTTTTTGTCCGTCGGTGTGATCTTTGGACTCTGGCACTGCACACGTGCTGTGCCCCTTATGTGGGGTTTCCATTCTACTCTCCCTGGTGGACCTTTCTATCTTATAGTATGGAGCAACCGTTCTCAACCTTCTGACTTCCTCAGGGGTGCCTCAAAACCTTAACACTGTGTTATGCCTTTCCATGGTGCAGGCACGCTTCTGGTGTGGAGGGGGCTCCTAATGTGAAGGAGGAACTCTGATGTAAAATGGAGGACTTTTTTTTTTTTTTAAATGGGGGATGTGGTGTTAAAGAGTGGCTCTGATGTCAAAGGGGGACTCCTGATGTGAAGAAGACTCCTGATGTAAAGCGGGGATTCTGATGTGAAGAGGGCTCTTCATGTGAGGGGAAGAGCTTCTGATGTAAAGGGGAGTTTGTGATGTGAAGGAGGACTCTGATTTGAAAGGGGGGACTCTGATGTGACGGTGCGCTTCTGATTTGAACTGGGACTCTGATGTGATGGTGGATTTCTCATTTGAAGGGGGGGACTCTGATGTGTTGGTGGACTTCTCATTTGAATCAGGGACTCTAATGTGCTGGTGGATTTCTCATTTGAAGGGGGGACTCTGATGTGATGGTGGGCTTCTCATTTGAAGCTGGACTCTGATGTTATTGTGGACATCTTATTTGAAGGGTGGGCACTCATGTGATTGTGGACTTCTTATTTGAAGGGTGGACTCTGATGTGAAGGACGGGACCCTTTTTTTGTGTTTCCATGGGGTCCCCCTTAAAATCCATAACAAACCCCCTATCAGGGATATGGGCCTGGCATAGATTTTGGAGTTTCCATACGTAGTTTTTTAGATTATTTTTTTTCCATTTTAGACTGGGGTGCCTTAAGACTTAGTATTTTTTGAAAGGGTGCTGTGACTGAAAAGATGTTGAGAAACGCTGGTATGGAGAATGTAATGGGAGGTGGAACACCCAAAACACCCAGGTGGACAGGACAAGAGCTATGAGTTTTTAACAGGGAGATCTCCTTGTTGGAGCAGCCAAGACTTATAAGAAACCAGGTACCCACCAGGCTCTAACTACAACTAAATATCATGTTTGGGTGGAATGGGCTTTTAAACAGCCTTAGTCCCTTATGGAAGCTATTCAAACGGCAAAAACTGGTTGGGAGAAAAATATGGGGGGCTGCTGGCAACTGGTGGCTTGAAAATGCTAGCTGCATGGATGCCATTCTGATCCTTTGGCTTCCATGCTTTCCAAGTCTGTGAAGCAAAATAAGTATGCAGCAAGTGAAGTTAGAGCTAATAAACAGTGTGCAAGTCAGTGACAAAGAAATGATTGAAGATGGAAAATTAACATAGCAGCCATGTAACAAGCACTTTCAGAAGAAGGTTCTTTAATGTGATGTTTGTTATACCAACCAAGGCATTACATTGCCAGCAGCATTTTGTACAATGAATAGATAGGTAAAGGCAATGTGTAAACAGGGGTAGGCAACCTTGGCACACCAGCTGTGATGGAACTACAAGTCCCATGAGGCATTGCAAGACTGACAGACTGATTTGCAAACTGGTGAATTTGCTTTAACTTCCCTCCATTTTTTGGGCGATTACCATTTCATCATGCAGGTGTATTTTTGCATAACTTTATAGATGGACACCCCCACCAGGTATATTGGGCAAAGTCCAGATTTAGTTATCCAGAGATGCAAAAATCAGCTAATCCTGGGCTGTGCAATGGTTACTGATTAATGTGGTGTGTTCCTCTGTAGTGTAGAGCGCCTAAGCAGAAGGTTGCAGTGTTAGCCTATTACTTTCTCCTGGTAAGAAGGAGGATGCACCATGGGCAGGTAGCGCCACAGAAAACTAATGAATAGATGCATGAGAAAAAGATTGAGAATATTGTGCAAAGTTGGCAACACACGGGCAGATCGAGACTTCACTCTTCAACTGCAGAAGAGCTGATTCTGCATATTTGACCATCAGTGCAGATGTTATAGGGTATCTATGGTCAGTAAATAAATCTGTGTTTCTATATTGTATTTCCATAAGTTCTATCCCACTCCTAATAACAAGGGATGCACCGATACTGATACTAGTATCGGTATCGGTGGCGATGCCGAGTATTTGGCCGAGTATTCGTACTTACCCAAATGCTCCAATGCCTAGCCCTATACTTGAGCTTCTGGTAATAGGAAGCTGGGCAACGTGTCATTACATGCTGCCCGGGAACTGGCTATCAGGAAGCCGGGCAGCGTGTCCTTACATGCCCCCCGACTTTCTAATTGGCCAGAAAGTCGGCTTCATGCTCCCTCGTCACCTGGTGACGAGGGAGCATGGAGCCGGCTTCCCGGCCACTCAGGAAACCGGGTGTCGTGTAATGACACGTTGCCCCAGCTTCCTGATTGGCCAGCTTCTCGACCAATCAGGAAGCTGGGCTACGCTTCATTACGTGGCGCCTGGCTTCCTGATTGGCCAGAAAGCCGGCTCTATGCTTCCTTGTCACCAAGTGACTAGGGAGCATGGAGATGGCTTCCCTGCTGATCAGGAAGCTAGGTGGCGAGTCATTACACACCGCCTGGCTTCCTTAATGGGACTTCCCGTATTGGTATTTGGTATCGGCGAGTACCAGAAAAAAAATATTGGTACTCGTACTCCGGGTGTATCCACTTCATCAGGCACTCGTGCCCCTCCTCTGTTCCTACACCCTCTGTCCACCATTACCAGGGGTGTTTGGACAAGAGAAGCAAGGGAGACCGCCACTCTTCAGTAACATATATATGGGTAGAGTTTTGCAGGAATATTCGTATGAAAAATCCTGTTGGAATGTTTAAAACTGGCATCAGAAACTTACCGATTGTCGTTGGAAATTTTGTTTAGTTTCTATTTAACATTCTATTCTGGAATGAATGGAGTTTCCAAACAAAAACCACATTCACTGTTAGAAATTTGTTCGATGAAGAAAAATTTTCCTTGGCAAATTTTAAGGAACGTTGTTGTTTTCGTCCGTCGATTACACCATACTAATTGATAGCTATTCGACTGAACGTTCCCAAGACGTCTTCTTTACGAAATTCTAACCGTGTTTACCCTACTTGAGGGTATTCTGGTACACGCAGGCGCTACTGTCAGAATAAAATAACCCAGCATGGGATGCGGGATGGGAGAAATTGAGCGTTTGTTTCTTGTTCTGCCCCGTGGGGTAAGGCCAGCTTTATACGGTCTTGTTAATTTGTAGAACATTAAAGAGATGTGTTTTCCTCATTAGGCATGGTGAGAATTGTCCTAAGGTGGCATCAAAGTGACAGTCACAATAGATATATGTCCTATAACCAATCAAAGCCATTTGTACAAACTTTTATACCTTAATGTTATGTTAGACTTCTGTCACCTGATCTATAGTATAACAACCTTGTTATCTCACAACCAACTGGCCCATAAGACATCTTTGAAGACTTTCTTTTCTTTCATCTGAGATTAATTGAACAAACAGCTTGGCCATCCCTGTGGGAAAATGGACTGTTGAGTTCTTAGGTCTAACCCAGAGTCCCTTTTGTTGTCTTGTTTGTTCTCTGGATAAACATTAACTTCATCACAGCAGTAAACAGAAAAGGACGTCTTCCATTGTCTGGTAGATTACCGGTGCCCTCTGACCCCCTTTCCCAGGGGAAGGAGCCTTCCCTCTTCTTATAGTTGTTTTTAGGCAGGTTGTTGTATTTGTTGCTGATGAAATGTTAATTGACAAGAAGTAGAATCTCCGGACCCCTTTAGATGACGATTGAATGGCCTTTGTTTTGAGGGTACCCATGCATGTTGCAAGGAAGCTCAACAAGCTCAATTGTTTTGGTCCAACTAGTGCTATTAGTGAAAGTTTGAAATAAACTTAATTGATTAATGTCGAGCTAAGACTCACCGCAGACAAGACAGACACTTCTCGGGAACACGCTCTAGCCCAGCCAGCGAGCACCCGTTTGTCTTCCTTGCTGCATTGGCATGAAGGAGCGGTGTTGCATCATGTTGAACTTCTCGGGAATAGTTGGTTGAGGAGCTACCTGGTCATTGTTTGTTGCTGTCACATACCTGGTAAGAGTCTGAGATGACGAGGGTGGCCTCCCTTGCTTCTCTTGTTCAAACACCCCTGGTAATGGTGGGCAGAGGGTGTAGGGACGGAAGAGGGACACGAGTGCCTGATGCAGTGGATACACCCGGAGCTGGAGATGCAGGTGGACCAGTCTGAAGGAAGAATATGACGAATATGACGTCAGCAATGGGTGAAGCTGGCACCGGTGCAGAGCAGAGCCGAAGAAGGGAACAAGTCGGGTCACGATCAAGCAGGCAGTGAGGTACAAAATCAGCAAACAGAGGCAGGAGCAGGCCAGATCGGTAATGTGCAGGCAAGGCAGTGCAAGGTCAGCAAGCAGAAGGAAGCTACAGATCAAGCCAAGGTCAGGGGTAGGCAGCAATCAGCAGAGTCCAAGAACAAGCGGGTCAATATCAGGAACAAACAGAATCAGGAAACAAAGGAAGCAGGGCACTAGCTGAAGAACTCTCGGCAAGGAAAAGGTACAAAGCTCCTCCTTAAATAGGCCGTCTGGAGCCAATGTTCAAATGAGGGCTTGTGCACATGCGTGCGCACGCGACAGAGTGCGCATATATGCGTGCGCACTCACGAGTACGTGCAATCCTTTCACTAGACTGTCTCATATGCGTGCACACAGGAAAATGTGCAGCACGAAGATGAGCAACACTTCACTTCTCTGACAGTTGTGCTATTGACCCACTGCAGTTTCTTGCGTGACTCCCCGGTTGATCAAAGCTGTTAATGTGCGGTAATCACACTCCACCCATCTTCTTGCTGAGAAATGGGAACGATTGGCCAGCTCAAACCAAAATTTTCCAGCAAGTTGGAAGATCTCCATGAGCAAGAATAATGGCTTTAGATGGTCAGAACTTACCGGTCCCTACGGTCACCCTAAATAGCTACATTGTCATACTGGGTGTCAGCTAGGGCCAAGGACATCCTTGGATATGTGTGTGCAGTCTGGTTATATGGTTGCACAATATCACTAATTTAGGATCTGAGAATACCTTTTGTGGACATGTACTCGAATATCAACACAGGGTTATGTTAACAGTTTTGCTGGGGAAAAGATAAATGAACTGAAATACATAGAAGGCAATTTATCAAAAGTGGAGCAGACAAAATCAGGAGCAGCTGTGCATGTCAACCAATCAGCTTCTTTCTTTCATTTTCAAATCTTAACTGAACAAACTGAAGAGAGAAGCTGATTGGTTGCCATGGGCAACTGCTCCAGATTTTGTCTTTGAGTTTTCATAAATTCCCTTCATTGAATGAAAAATCCCAAACAAACTGATAACAACTGATACAAACTGATACATGTCTAATGCCCAACTCCCTTGCAGCCTTCTATCTCACCTCAGTATTGCAGCCTCCGGTAATCTCTTTAGTAGTCCACACTTCCTGGAGTGTTAGATGCCTGTGTTACCCGCCACAGTTCCATCTTTCAAACCCTACCTCACTACAGGACTTGGCAGTGACAGAGGAGTAGGGAAAAGGGACCACGGCACATGACGGGGACAAAGGCATCTAACACTCCCAGAAGTTTCCCAGAATAATGCTATACACTCTGAGGGAGGCTGCAATGCTGGAACAGAGGGGAGGTAGGAAACACAGGCTATCAAGGAGGCTAATATACTACCACTTCTCTTGCAGGGACCTTTCAATAGCAGCTTTATAGGAACCTGACAGAGTCACTTTAAAATATGACATATGCTAATCAATGCAGCAATCTCTGTCTGACAAGTTATTTCTCACTGTGCATTTAATACTTTTCAGTCTTGTTATCCACTCCTTTGGGGAAAACAAATCTAGATCCTTTCTTTGAACAAAGAGTAACCTGGACCCATGATGTAACCCTTTTGTAATATTGTAGTTACAATGGGGTAATGCTGCCATCTAGTGTACAAATAGTATTACCACATGCTGACATTTATTCTATTAGTGTCCCATGTAGAGAAGATATAAAAACATATTTTGTTTCCTTTTACACTGAGATGTTGTTCTACTGATTTCACACCAACAAATCTGAGTATATTTACATTGTAATACATATTGTATAAACATTTTAAATATAAATGTATACCCATAGCAAATTAAAAAGAAACCACTTTCTTCATTGTATATATTTTCTTGTGTATGTTTTTTTTATTTTTTATTATGTCAGCAATATAATGAATACATAAAGATAGCAGTATGGATGACAATGCAGCACAGTGTGCACGTGTACTTTAACTTTTGCAAAAACTTTATGATATAAATTTTCCAATATTGGGGCCATTTGGAATCTCTTCCGGGATAGTGCTAATTTTCAAACATCTTTTCTGCATAAGGAATGAATTCACTCATTCCTATTTATAATGACATGAAGACTCTTGCTCATTTACTACTCTTTTATATCTCTCTAGACCCTATGGTCATCCCCCCTGCCCTTGTCCTTGTTCAAGAAGCCTGTATCTAAATTTTTGTGTGTGCATAAAGTTAGATTTGTCTATCTCTCTTCTCTCCTTTTCCTTATTTGCCTATTTACTCTTTTTTTTCTGTTTTCACCTCTTTTCTCTCTCTGCCTCTTTTGTCTTTTCTATCCTTTTTCTGTCTTTTCTGTGTTCTTTAGTCAGGAGTGTTGAGATTAGCTCCTACCATTGGAGGCGTACTCTCATGGGCCCGGACAAGACCGCTGTACGGTGTCTGCATGCAAGAGGGGTTGTCTTCCATCTTTTCTGCAGGGGTGCTGATAGGGTTTGTGACTTATTCCCTGATACCTGTATTTGAAATACTTTGGCCATTTTCCATCATTATTATTATTATACAGGATTTATATAGCGCCAATAGTTTGCACAGCGCTTTACAATATAAGGAAGACATTACAGTCACAATACAATTTAAGACAAGATGGTAAGGAGGGCCCTGCCCGTGAGGGCTTACACTCTAAAAGGGAGGGGCAAGTGATACATGAGGAGGTAGCTGTGCGGGGATGATTGTTTGAGAAAGTGATTGTTCAGTGGTTAGGTTGAGGTGGGATAGGCTTCCCTGAAGAGATGAGCCTTAAGGATCGCCTAAAGGCAGTCAGTGTGGGAGATAGACGGACAGGTTGGGGTAGAGAGTTCCATAGAATGGGAGACACTCTAGTGAAGTCCTGGAGGCGAGCATGGGAGGAGTTGATGACGGAGCTGGAAAGCAGGAGGCCTTGTGAAGAGCGGAGGGGACGGTTAGGGTAATACTTTGAGACCGGGTTGGAGATATAGCCGGGGCCAGAGTTGTGGATGGCTTTGTACGCGGTTGTTAATATTTTGAATTTTATCCTTTGGGCTACAGGAAGCCAGTGTAGGGATTGACAGAGGGGGGTTGCAGACACTGAGCGGTGGGTTAGGTGGATGAGTCTAGCAGCTGCATTCATGAGAGACTGAAGGGGGGATAGCCTGTGTAGAGATAGGCCAATGAGGAGGGAGTTGCAATAGTCAAGACGAGAGATAAAAGGGAGTGGATGAGCAATTTGTGGTATCTTTGGTGAGGAAGGAGCGTATTTTGGAGATGTTACGAAGGTGGAGGCGGCATGATTTCATGCTTATCCTTTTGTTAACTCAGAAACCCCCCTACAGCAGGATGAAAGTTTCCCTCAGCTAATAAACTGCTGTTTATATCCATCTTTCTTTTATTTATTTTAGACATATAATTATATGTCTAAAACAAACAAAAGAAAGATGGATTTAAACAGCAGTAAAAGAAAGATGCCTGAAACAAATAAAAGAAAGATGGATATAAACAGCAGTAAAAGAAAGATGCCTGAAACAAATAAAAGAAAGATGGATATAAACAGCAGTTTATTAGCTGAGGGAAACTTAGCTAGAAGACACTGGTGGTGTCTCTGACATTTATTGTTGGTTTATTCTTCATTATAGAGGATTCATCAGGGAAGAGTAACACCAGCATTGGCACCTGTGCAGCAGTCGGACAGAACAAGGGTTATCTCATCGTTGTAGTTTTCCTTAGACATAAGAAGATAGAGCAGTGCAAAGTCAGGACGTTAGTTTGGAATGTAGTAAGCAAGTAATATCAACTTGTTATAGCTCCCCTAGAATTTTGATGGCAAGTTCCATTGGAGTTGGCCAGCTTGTCTTTATCTTACTTATTGGGGCTCATACACACAGCTGCTAGAGGACCGTACAGCACACATCATGGCGCATTTCTCTGATGCTCTGTACAGCAGCATATAGGCAGCTTGTACAAATTAGCAGCAGGCTAGCTGAAGCCGTGACTGTATGTGATATGCAAATGACAGTGTAACCCGTCTATAGCCCTGTATGGAAGTGTATGCTAAATTTGTGTGTATCAATCTGAACAGCTCCGGCTTCAGAATGCCTGTCATTGGATTGCACAGGCCGGTTGCATGCAGATGTTTGGTGCATGTCACTCCCGGGCAGAAAAATATGGCTGCTGTATGGCCCTCTTGCAGCCGTGTGCATGAGCCTTTATAGCACTTTTGCCTAAAGGTAGACTTTGTTTACCAAAGTCGTTTTTACTATTGATTTGCACACTATATATTCTGCCAGTGAGATTTGCCAGATTATTCTGCTTGGCCAGGCATGTGATCCCTGCACCCTTGCATAGCGAAATCCCTGACTTCACTATTTCACACACTGTGATTAGATAGTGAAGGAGCTCATATCTGTGTCCTCCCTCCCGATAACAAGTTCCCTGTATTAGAGTGACAACAGTGTAAATGAATGTTCTGTATAGTGTTTCAGTTGACACTAATATTATAAATGAGTCTCATTGGCTTACAGTGCTTCTCTTTCCTTATTCCAGGTTGAATCCTAGTTACAGGGAAATAAGCAATGAGATTCTAGTTATAAATATATTTAAAGATTTTTCAATGGATCAGTAATTGCCTTTTTTTTTTTAAACCGACTACAATTCTGCTTTTAATAAAAAAAAAAATATCAGTGTGTAGTGTAATGCTAAATGCTTATAATATACGTAATAAAGAAGCTGTATAACACATTCATATTGACTCACTGGGTATAGATAATTTAATTGCCTGTTCCTCTGCAGAGCCATCAGCGGTGGCCTCGCTGAAGAGAGGCCTGGATATCTCTTCTGCCTCCCGGAACACGGCTTCAATCGATCGTCAGTGCATGGCAGCCTGCTTCACCCGCTGACTGCTGCCAAGCTGGACTCCTCCGAATCCTGTGAGGAGGCTTCCAGATACTCACATGCGTTCCCCAGTGATCACCAAGTGCCCGCTAGTCACCCTACACCCCAGTACAATGAGACACATGGAAAAGCAGCAGAGGGCACCCCTCAGTTCAAAGATGTTTCTACAATCACAGGTAAGAATTAATGCTTTATCATCCCATCAACATTGGTGTTAAAGTTCCCTAAAATGGTTCTGTGGAAATTTGTTTGAATGTCCTATCATTTTAAAGTATATCCAAAGCTAAAGCTTTATCTTTCCGGCGGCCCATGTGTTGAAAAATTGCTGCTTCTCTCCTCCCTAGCTGCTGCATCTATTCTACACTTTGGAGTCTGTAGAATACATGCAAATTCTGCGCACCCAGAAGTTTGGAATTCTTGCAGGAATCAGGGAGAAGTGAAGTGCAGGCCACTGAAAAGGTAAGTATAGCGACCTGAATGCAAACTGTTTGTGTCCAGGGGTGATCATCTGAGGGTAATTGCAGCATGTGCCATTACATGTGAATGACTGCTGACCCTGGAAACTGTCATTGCTTTGAACAGTGCTTCCCAGCCGCAGCTGTTCGTATGAACAATTTGTGAGATTTAATTCAATCAGCCCCATTCACACGTGTGAATGCCATCTTAAAAATTGACCAATTGGAGCAAAAATTAAATCCTGTTTGTAGTGATAATTATGTGGACAGCTTATATTAGAACTCCAGGCAGTATGAAGCTTAACCCTTGCAGTGGGGCTACCCCCAGACCACAAGGGTTACGTGCCCGGCTTCCTCGCGTCCAATACACTGTATTGCACATGATGACTCACGGGTTCTTAGACCACCGGAGTGAAGGGGGAGAGCGGCTGCAGGGACCGGTCTAGCAGTCAGCTAGGTCCAAGATATGGGTGAGTATTTTTTTGTTATTATAGACCCTAGACGAACACAAGCACTTGCAAGGGGTAGTCCCACTGCAAGGGTTACGTTTTCTACTGCCCAGAGTTCTTTGTTAAGGAATAATTGCAATTTTAGATAAAATTAATCTATTCTTTTTGCCTCTCTGCTCTAAAACTAAACAATCTCACGCTTGCCATCCACAGATCTCTACTTACCAGGATCCGAGGGCCAGTGCTCTGCTGTTTATTGACATCCAGAGCTGCAAGCCTCCCTCTCCCGGCCAAGTCCTTCTACCCGCCCAGAGAAGGTCCCATAGAAGTTTATGGGGCTGTAATGTGCAGTTGAGGCCAGTAGAGGGAGTAATGCAATGCTGGATGTCAAATAAAAACCAAACTCTGCCCCTTGGATCTTAATCTTTTAGGTCAGGGGAGGGGGACAAAAAGAATAAGTACACTTTGTTTTAAGGTGCATGTATCCTTTAATAGTACGAGTAAATGAAATGTTAGTTTTCCAGCTTTGAAAAACCATAGTGGAGTTATGTGCCCATTTTGCCTAAAGAGGGCAGCACATGTCCCTTTATCCTCTATCAGCCGCACACACTGTGATCTGGCTCTCCTGCATTCATCAAAAAGAGAAAATAGTTTAAGTAGAGTATACACGGTTATATTTTTTTAGTTCAACCTGCGGGCTGAACAAAAAAAATATAATGGATGCCTCCATCCCTGACAGATGGTAGAAAAGATCTTTTGTGGATGGCTGTCAAAAAAAAGATTGCAAAGTTGGGGTTATTTTGTCCATTTTGTGTTGTTGGATATCATTTTGTTGGGTGTCTATTACTCCATTTTATGCAGAACACATGCACCTTTCCTGTACCTAGAAGGATCATTTCCATATAGAATCTGTCAGATCCCATTCTTGCAGATATGTATAAACAGGGCAATTGTCTAAATGTAGTTAATGCATATACAGTAATACCTCAGTTCACGAACGCTTCTGTTCGCGATGGGGGAATTTTGCTCCGCGAACTCCAAATCAGGTGATTAACACGACCGTGGCCATCTTCCCCCGCTCTGACATGTGGTCTTCCTCTAGTCGAGATCGCGGTTGCAGACACTTGCTGTGAAACTTTTTTGTGTGACAATTCGGTTTGCGACCAGAATCGTGGAACAAATTAAGTTCATGAACCGAAGTACCACTGTAGATTGATCCTAAAAAGTGCCCTGCATAGCTGATCCAGTTATTGCCTACACAGCTACGCTTAATGCTATCCTGCCCCCATCTTCTTTTCTTTCCCCTGATCTTTGGTGGAAAGTGTAATTAAAATATGGAAGCATTGCCTGGAAAAAAAAAGCAAGCAGAGGCCAAGGACTAGTCACCATTATTGCCTGTGGTCCTCCTGCAGCTGATCTTTCCCATGCATTATTCTGCAATGAGTCTCTTTGTGGAGACGGCCATCTTGCTAGAGGCAGGACTTTGCTTCCTCATGTCGGAGCTTCCAGCTAGGAGAACAGTGATCAGCACAACAGTGACATCACCAAATCTCATTCCATAGCTTCTGAGACTAGCAGACAGAGGCAACAGTGCCTTAGATCTCAGACTGCAGATATACAGCAATGAGGATGTAGGCAAAGGGGAGCCTAGGCATACTCGCATACCAGGAAATACATTGCTATCTTTCAGGGGGAATTCCATCTCCATACAAAATGTACATTTTTCTGGGTAATGCTTAGACACAAATAAAGTGAAACTCCAGGCAAATAAAATCTTAACCCTTAACGTGGGCCTTACCCCAGAAAGGGTTAGGTGCTCGTTTTGCTTAGGGAGCTAAAATAACAATGATATACCCCACCAGAAACCACGATCCTGGCTGGCTCCTAGACTGCTCCTTGCAGCTTCACTCCCCCTCCGCTCCAGTGGCCTAAGGTCCTGTGAGCCATCACATTCTGTACAGTGTATAGGATGTGAGGACGCTGAGGTACATACCTTGGCTGGGGCAGAGGGGAAGAGAGGAGTGAGATGGGAGTCTAGGAGCCAGCCGGGATCGTGGTTTGGGTGAGTATAACTTTGTTATTTTAGCTCCCTAGGCAAAACAAGCACTTAACCCTTGCAGTGCCAGGGGTAGGCTCACTGCAAGGGTTACGATTTGATTTGCTTGGAGTTCTGCTTTAACATATTTAAATGTTCCCTCTAAAGAAAGCAGATCTTCACTTTTTGAGTTCTCTTCCACTTTAAGACAGAGCAGAAAATGACTGTGTGAACCTAGCCCTTGTATTTGCCGTTATCTTCAGAATATCGGTCTGATTAACCCTTTGTGCTTCCAGACGTGTGCACCAGCTGGGATGTCCCGGAGCTGGAGATCATCAGCCTTCTGCAGGCAAAGCTCCCTCACTACACTCTGCGCGCAAACACCATGTTCGGATACGACCACGACGACTGGCTACACACTCCGCTACTACCGCCTGACCTGCCCTTCCATCTTACCCCTGAACAGATAGAAGAGACGCTGAAGTATTTCCGTGAGTGAATGGTCCAGACTGAGCTCAGCTACAGCTGAGAAGTGTCAGGATTCCTTACCCTTCTCTTATTGTCATGTTCATAACTAAGGCTGATGGCACTTTTGTGAAGAAATTGATCATTGATTGGTTACAGAAATTATCCAGTGTATAACCAAACCTGCGTGAACGTACTAAATCAACATCTGCAAGGGGTAGCTGAGGGTATAAGCTGTCAGAACTTAGACCTGTCCCTATCGTTCTGTCTGGACCTCCCCTGAAGTGTCTCCACTTGTAGTAGAATAGGCACAAATGTTGTCCCATCTCACAATGCAGTTCCTGAGCAACCAATCAGCAGGCCCAGCCATGCACATGCGTTAAGCTCTGCACCCCTGGATGCAGACTGTCTGTGTCCAGAGTTCTACACCCATGCCCATGCTTATGCAAGTAGCAGTGTAAATAGAGTAGTGAATGAGTGCAAGCGGCTACACCCATTCACTACCATGGGCAGCTGTGTATGCCTGGCACAGAAATACGCCCGCTGTTTACGTTATATGGTCACATGTGCCTATGTGTACGACGCCTTAGTCTGCATTGGCATAGTCATTTTGGAAGGGTACCAGGCAGCACTGGAGAGAGGACACCTGAAGCACAAGGAATGTGCTGACAACCTATGATATTATCCATCTCCTCCATTTGATAATTAGTAGTTTAAATGATCTCATGGGTTCAGCAAACAGGTAAATATATGGAAGGCGGAGCTGTTTTATCTGTCATATCATTGTATTCTTTTCCATCCAGTCCTGATAGGTATATGTCTTTCCCACACGGCACAACCAAGTTAGTGACCTGACTATTCCCTGCAGCAGTTTAGCAATACAGCTTGATCACCTACTTGCCCCAATGCGTTCTAGGAGAGTCAAGGAGAGAAACAGACTGATGAGCTCTTCCATCAGCTCATGTTCTCTCCTCCTATCAGCATGTTCTTTGGCAGCACATATGCACTGTATCACATTTGACTGGTTACTAGCACTGATCCCTCCCTTTGCCATTCTGAGTGAGTACTCAATAAAACGATGTACTTTATTACAAGAGATTAGTATGTTCCCTGCAATACTGTGCAACCTGCAGGCTTTCAGTGGTGTTGGTGAAGAAACTTTTCCATCTACCACTAGAGGGAGCCCTTGGGAGCTGGGAGAGAGGCTGCTCATTTATCCCACTGTACATTGCCTCTCCCATCACCTAAGCTCTTAAAGTGTATGTATGGGCAATCGAAAAAACATATTCAGCTCTGCAATACATTCACATCTCTCCCATGTTTTCTTGCTGAAAATCAATGCAAGTACAAAAAATTTAATGTTGATACTGACAGAAATCCATTTAGCTCTTTACTTCCTTTTTGAGTTGACAACTGCCCCTGCTGCAATAAAATCCCAAGCAATGTTGTCAGCCCTACCCATTTCTTCCTTCTGGACTATCGAACATCTGCTTGCTGTGTTATGGAGATGAGGAGAAGAGTGTTCTATAGTTCTGCCGGGGAGAACTCAGGCAGAGGAGACAACCATGCTTGGGATATCAGTGCAATAGAGCAGGGGTCCTCAACCACCGGGCCACGGACTGGTACTGCTCCGTGGCCTGTTACCAACTGGTCCGCAGCTGCCAGCAGTCTCCCAATTCAGAGCCAGAGAGGACAGCGGGGCAGCACGGCCATGTCAGTGCAGACAGCAGGCAGCACGGCCGTATCCGTGAGGAGAGCAGAGCAGCGTGGCTCTCTGTCAGTGCAGAGAGCGGAGCAGCATGACCATGTCAGAGTTAGGATACAAAGCGTGGCCTTGTGGGGAGTGATGGCCGGGTGGATGAACTGACAGCTCTGCACCGAGCCATGGTCATGTTATAAGGTAATGACCCTTATAGTGTGAGCAGCCATCTCCTACATGTCCTCCCTTCATATTACACTCAGAGCAGCCTGGACTCCCCCTGTCTGCTCTGTGTTATGTTATCTGCCGCACACTAATCACTACCACCCTCTCCCTGCCACCCCACCACACAACACCCCCTTCCCTCCACCCCTAACACCAACACCCCACCAAAAAAGGTAAGTGACTGCTGCAATAGAGGCACCATTATCAGCTCACTACAGGAACTTAGGAGATCACTTGATTTCTGGCAGACCAACAAGTGTTTTTCTGTACTTGCTGTATTTTCCAAAACTTGCAACAAAAGCAGATGGGCTGTCAGCAGCATTGGGGGAAGCACATTGATCTCTTAAAGCCTATCCTCAGGTACAATGCAGGGTTTATAGCCCTGCATTATATGTAAGGATGCCGAGGGACAGTCCATGAGGTGCATTGCAAGGGAGACCACAGGAGAGCGCCAGGTGCCAGAGGAGCATGGATCAGCTAAGTAAAAGTCCTCTTTCTAATACCCCTAAACATTAACCCTTGCAGTGCATGGGTAGCCCCACTACATGGGTATTTTTTTTCCCCATGGAAATAGGCTTTGAAGTAAAGCCTACAATTTATAACAGTGGGTGGCCTGCCAGCTTGACAAAACTCAATTGCTTAATTGACTTTTGTCGAAGGAGCCGAGCTCAAAATTGTCTGCCATACAGTGACTGTAGCCAATCAACCACAGTCACTGATCGGGTATTCTGATGCCAGGTGCCGACTGTCAGAATGCAATAGCCCAGTGGGGGGGATTCTGTTGGATTTCATTTGTTCAGCCCGCAAGCTGAACAAAAGAAACCTATTAGTGTGTGACCAGCATAGGGTACCTTTCTCTGTTTAGTTTTTTTGCTCAGCACCTAAAAGAGCCTAACCTGAATGTGAAGTTTGCAATATAGGCTCTGTAAGAGAAACCTGAGAACTATGTGAGAGGAGAATAGGGGATGTTGTTGGAGATGGATGGGTGTTATTGCCACACAGCATGCCCGAGGCTCATGGCGGATGGCATGTGCTTGTGCAGGTATTTATGGGCCGCAGTAAGTCAATTAGAGGTTATGGCTCCGGTTTGTGAACACAACACTCCTTGTGCCTTATCACCTCCAGGGAAGGTCTCTGCAGATGTCTTTTCAAAGCACGGCTGAACTTTGCCCAGCATGTCAATACACAAACACGGAAGAGAGCTCATTGGTGCGGATATAATGAAAGGCACAAAATATTATGTTATAGACCAGAGATTAGATATTAACGTGTGTCTGTTGCGGGTAAGTGATATTTCCAGTTTCTTACTGATACATTTTCTTGATATGCCCAGTGATCAGCTGCACCCAAAGCTGAAAAGTCCTTCTTATATGCAATATGTTAAATTAAAACACTCAGTATTATGGGGTGTCGAGGGTACGAGGGGAGATAAAAACTCATTTAGGGGTTAGGCTTAAGGATGGGGTGAAGCTGAAAACCAGGCAAGTAGCTTAATACTTAGTTCAGTGGGGCTTTTTTATTTGCCAGAGGATTTGTATTTCTGTCCATCCAGTCCTGAGATTTAAGATACATAGTGCTCCGGCCCTGTCGGCCCACCCCGCCGGGAGGATGTCAGGATGTTAGAGACAATCAATAGATACCTCTATCAACGCTAAACAGCATGGATGGAGGAATCTCCAATGCCAGCTATTGTATTCAGACAACCGCTGCCCCCGAGCTGCAGTAGCTGCATCTGATAGGACACGGTCACTGTTTGGCCAATCATTTTTTACTCAGCTCAGCCGATTTTCAATTGACTTATGTCAGTATTGTTAGCAGAATCCCAGAAGATTCAATAGGAATCAGATCAAATTCAAGCTGTCTGTGGTTTGCTTTACACAGCCCTACCATGGAACATGGCCAGGTTGCTGACCTGATTTTAAACTATTGTAATTGATTACCATGGCTTGGTCACCTCCTGTGATTGGTCAGTGAAGGAGCAGGCTGATGAGCTCAGCCCTCTGCTCACTCTACTTTCTTCTCCTGTCTGCATTTTGTTTCCTGTAGTGTTTTATATATCTGCCTGGAGTTCAGCCGGAAGAGTTAGGGTTAGGTTAATGGTACAATGTTAAAGGAGAACTATGGGCAAGAGTATGGGTAGGTGTCACATGTTGGCTCTGTTAATCGAGAACCACCCGCTGATCACTCAGTTCCCCATCTTCTCCCTGCAGAGAGAAGTGACTGTCAGTCATCGCTCCCCGCAGGGATTCCCCCCTCCTCTCTCTATTTCTCCAGCTCTGACTGGAGGGGCAGGCAGGAGAGGGGGCGGGCACAGCTGGTTCTGGCTCTAGAGAAGCAGAGCCAGCTGTCAATAAGGTAGCGGGGTGAATTCCAATAATATTGTTGGGATCCTTCTCGGAGCTCTGCACTGTCAGCATATAGTGGCAATATGCCTGCTATATGCTGAGTTTTGGGTCACAGGAGGACATTAGTAAATGTCCTCCTGTGACCCAAAAGAGAACTAACGCCAAAAAAGGTTTGATCATAGTTCTCTTTTAAGGGTTAGGTGGTGGGTTAAGTGTCAGAGGAGTTTAGGGTTTTTTATAAGGGTTAGTATAAAGGTTCTGGTATTGGTCATATATAGTGTATCATGTATAGTGTCAGGAAATTGTAGTTTTGGTGTTTTGGTGTCCAGTTCGAGTACCGATATTTTTTTTCCAGTACTCGCCGATACAGAGTACCAGCACCATGTGCCCAGATTATCAGGAAGTCGGGTGGCGGATCATAAACCCAATAGAAAAATGTCACCAGCACACCGGATCATAATCCATCGCCCCGGCTTCCTGATTGCCTGTGAAGCCGGTGTTCTAGCGAAAGAACACCGACTTCACTTGCCGAGGCTGCCTGACCAGTCAGGAAGCCGGGTGGCGAGTCATGAGGTGCCGTCCGGCTTCCTGATTGGTCAGGAAGCCAGGCTGCCTAGCAACAAGTGAAGCTGGTTTCTTAGTCAATCAGGAAGCCGGGCGGCACGTCATAACCCGCCTCCCGGCTTCCTCATGGGAAAGGTAGCCGGCTCCATGCTCCCTCGGCACTTGCGGTCAGGGCCAGATCTCCCTCTGACCG